TCCCACCCTCTCTCTTCCCCTCTCCCACCTCCTTTTCCCAGTCTCCCCAGAGGTTAATCCCCTCCCCCCCAGTTTTGTTAAATAAAGAGAGTTTCTATTTTTGAACACACGTGTCCTTTATTTTTTACATCAGGAAGTGGGGCTAAGGAGGGGTAAGTGGAAGGAGGTGGGGGAGGACTGGGGTGGCTCTGCGGGATCCTCGGGGAGAAAGCTCTTCTGCAGGGCCTCCTGGATCCTGACAGCCCCCCTGATTGACCCCCCCGGATGGCAGCCTGTGGCAAGTGCTGCTGGGCTGATGGCCGAGTGCTGTGATGTGCGGAGTGTGGGCACTCAGGGCACTCCAAGTCAGGACTGCTTTGCTGTCCTTCATCGAGGTAGACAAGCAAGCGAGGAACCCTGAGAACTGTCTGTCCGGGGTGGGGGTCGGGTCCCTTTAAGCACAGCCCTGGGCTAGCCTGAGGCAACAGCTCTACACTCTAAGTCCTAACCTGATGCCCTGCCGGCACTGGTTCCGGCCAGCCTTAACTTCGGTCCAGGGTCCACTCAATGTGGACATGCTACTTCAAATTAGCAAAACGCTAATTTGAATTAGTTTTTAGGTCTAGATGCACTAATTCGAATTAGCTTAGTTCAAATTAACTAATTCGAATTAAGTTAGTTCGAATTAGTGCTGTAGTGTAGACATACTCTAACATATTTTCTAATGACAAGAATTCCCCTCTTTAAAAGTGCTACGTAAATTGGTTATAATACCTACCTGTCTTTTAATAAAATAGGGTGTGGCTACCTCACAGAGTGTTATAAGACTTTAATTGAATGTCTTATAAGAGACTATTTATTGTTAGTCACCAGTCTAGATGCTGACATTTTCTGCTTTAATGTATCAGGTAGCTCTAAGATGTTCTGTAATGGTTCTTTCCAGATCCTCTTACCAGAAAATAACTGCTGTGGTTTCTAGAGATATTTTGTTTTGTTTTTAAAAAATTCCTAGTTATTATCATCATCATGAGTAATACACTATATTCGTATAGTACCTTTCATTGATGAGCTCAAATTGCTCATCAAACATTCAATTAAAGTCTTATAACACTCTGTGAGGTAGCCACACCCTATTTTATTAAAAGACAGGTAGGTATTATAACCAATTTACGTAGCACTTTTAAAGAGGGGAATTCTTGTCATTAGAAAATATGTTACTGACTATGAACATTTTATAATATTGATCAACTTTTATTTTAGCCATCATGTAAGTTAAGCTTCTACAGGTTAGACACTTCACCCAGTACAGTCTTCCTATTAGAAATTAATCAAATTTTCTCTTTAAAGACAGTAGTGAAAATCCCTCGGAATTGTTTTGTTTCATTCTAAGTCCTTCTCAAAAGATGTAAATGCTCCAGGAATAAATTCTCCCCATTGCACCTTTCCTGAAAAGCCAACATTTCTCAATGTTATGCCTTAACTGGTGAGTTCACGAGGTCCATGAGCTGACAGAGGCAGCTCTGGCATCCCATGGAGCAGCCACTGTCCAGGGCAAGCCCAGGCCTACCGCAGACAGAGGCTGCTCTGCCTGCTGGGGGCCCAGGCTCCCTGTCGACAAAGGCTGCTTCGGCATCTCATGGAGCAGACTCTGTCCACAGCAAACCTGGGCCCACCCTGGGCCGAGGAAGCTCTGTGGCAGCAGTCCCTGTCCTCAGGGGGTTGGGCTGGCATCCCATCTGCCTCTGATGGTGGGAGGGAGAATGCAGCTCTGCGAAGCTAGTACTCATGGGGAGCAGGCTTTTAAGCTGGCTCCCCCAGCACCACCCCCTGAGCACTGACTCCCACCTGCACTCCTGCCCCCACCCCTTTGGGAGGCAGCAATGGCGGGGGGCCGACGGCTCCATGGGATCAGGTGTTCGTGGGGAGCTGACTTTTAAACGGTCTTCCCACGGGCGCACCAGCTTCCACCTCTCCTCCCCTTGCTGCCTCTCATATAGGTTAGACTGGATTAACCAATAAAACCAGGTTTATCGGTTAATCATTTACTCAACTATACACTAACATCCCACAGAAAAACAATCAAGCTACTAACCCCAAAATGGATATTTTTCTGTGCTTAGGCAAACATTTTGGCTTTTAAAGTAGTTGACTTCTCCACCTCTCATAAGAAATCTTAACATCAGGGACTTCATCTACAGAGGCTATGATAATAAGTCCTTTTTTTTTTCTTTTAAACCACTATCTCATCTTCATTCCTCCCATCCCTGCATCCCCTTCCCCCTGTTAAGTGCCAAATAAATCAGAAAGCCATCCTTCCTCACTAGAACTCCTTGGTGGCCTATCCTACTCTGTTTTTTCAGACCTCCTTAATCTGATGGCTATTCTACTTCCTCTTGCATTGCTTCTGGGCATTACAGTCCAAAGGCCTGTGTTTTACTAGTATTTATGGCCCTGTCAGGGCAGGCTCCCATCAAAAAGGCATAGCCTTTGAAAGTTAATCTGAAAAGGAGAAATGAAACAAAGCTTAATAGTATTGAAACAAGATGCAAGATGTTCTTTCAGACTCAGACAGGTTACACAAGGAACTAATCTGTGATTTATATTTATAAATTGTATTGTGAATGGGTGAGTCCCCAAACAACAACATCTGTATGTTACACATCTCTGCCTTTTGGGGCATTACAAAACCTCCGGGCTTTTTAAGGATTTGAGGAGACTGAAAGTTGCCGAGTCCTAGAAGTAAAGTGGTTTTATAGAGATAAATCCTGATTCTCTCATAAAACAAAGAAAATCCTCTAAAATTATTAAAGCCTTTGGATATTCTTGTATTTACAGGGTTTTTTCCAATTGACATTACTTTGGATGAAAAAGTCTTTGTTCTTAACTTTTTTCCACAAAATAGATAATCTAGCAACGAGATTGTGACAAACCTGAAATATTGGAATTGCCCAAAGACGAGAATAGCCTGGTTATTGTGTACCTAACTCCCAACAACTTCAAAATAAGCTGCAGTTTTCAGTATATTTGACTATCAGCTTCATAATGCTTAAGGCCATGTCAAGAACATATTAAACTGGTTTATATATCTCAGATTCCCTTTTCCGTTTAAACTGCAGAGCCACAGTCGGGGTAGTGAGTGCCCCCCCATCAATTAATCGAGTAGTTGATAGAAATTCCATCGACTACTCAATTGGGCAATTAAATTGCAACTTAACATCCCTAGAATAGACAACAGTTTTTATCTGAGATACCTCAGTCTTGCAGAATAGTATGATTTATTTACAGGTCAACAAAAAAAACTTTGGAACACAAGTATTGAGTAATTTGGCTAGAATGCAGATCCTGCAGAAAGAAGGAATCCATTGTCTTGGGTTCTGGCAAAGTCGCTTAAACTATCATCTTTGTACTTAGCAAATCCTGCCTTTTCTAAAATCTTTTCGCATCTGGCACTTCCATAATGACTTGTCACGCAAGCAATCTATCTTCAGAATTCTAAAAGGCCTAGAACATCAGTGCAGATGAGTTCAGTTTAAAAACAGCAAAACAAATGCATATCATTTAGTTGCACTTAACTGTTTAAGGCTAAATTATGTCACCCGTATTCACACTGAATTCAGACTTACACTGTAAGTAGTCCCGGGGGGCTCCGGGTGGAGTTAAGGTACTACTCATTGTGAGGATATCACAGTCTGGCCCTTACGGTATAATCCAAAATTTATGGAAGACAGTGAGATTATATCCATTGACTTCAGTGGACTTTTGGATCACATCTTCAGGAGATAGGTATTTTTTATAAGAGATTTAAGGAGCTATAAAAGCAAATAATTTTACATCTTCAGGAGATATGTATTTTTGATAAGAGATTTAAGGAGCTATAAAAGCAAATAATTTTATGCACGAATGCACCTCTGTTAGAGTTTATTACAAAACCCTTATACTTTCCTGCATAACATAACTGTAGCTTGCATGTTTATCTGGTATTTCTTTACTTACGTGTTTCACTTTTTCCTTCCTAAACATTACATTACACTACGGGGCAGTGCCCCCTGTTCGCTATGCTCGCCAACCCCTCCTCCCCTCTATTTCTGGGGGTTGGAAGGCCCAGGCTCTGTTAGATCCAACCTCCTTCTCCCCTCCCCAGCCTCTCAGCTCCCGCCCCCAGCCTCTTGCCTCCGGGCCTCCCACTCTCCTTCCAGACTCTAGGCCCACCTCTGGAGGGGGGCCGAGCCAGGCAGCAGCATGGTCCCCAACACTCCAGGATGTAGCTGCCTCCGCCTGACCTGTTCTCGGGCCGCCACCTGCCCGGTGCTCCAGCTTTGAACATCCCCCCCCAGAAAGATTACAGCGCCAGTACCAGCTTTCTGTGGGTGTGGGGGGAGGAGGAAACCCCAAGGCCCCGCACTGGATTCAGTCTGCGGGGAAGAGTGTGCGCTGCTGTGGGGAGGGGAGCTCCATGGCCCACAACCCACCCCCCTCTTTCCATCCTCACCCCCACCTCCATCCTCCATTTCTACACCTACCACCCTCCCTAACCCCTCTCCACCCCACACTGCCTATCCCCCTTTCTCCATTCCTATGTCCCCTTCACCCCACCACCACCCTTTAGTGCACCACCTATCCCCACATACACCCTATCTCCCTTCCTAAGGAACACCTTGCCTCTCCCACGAATGGGCAACCTAACCAGCAAGGAAACAGCACCAGTAGGTTGGCAACTGCTCCGAATGCTGTTGGGTCGCCCCTTTGTGACACCTCAAGGGGTGCGGGGGGGAGGGAAATAAACCCCACCCCCCCCCCCCACCCCC